GACACTTACACTCGAATGGGAAATGGAAGATGAGAAACCATTTACCCTCGACCCACCCTTTGAAGATGGCAAGGAGTCAGGTGGCCCAGATCCTGCGACCGAGGTTGTAGGGAGCCAAGGTGGTGACCCAATTACCGCCTCCACTAGCAAAACCTCCACTACCGTACAGAGCACTAAATCAGGCTCGAGTACAATCTCCGACGCCACCGCACAGAGAACGTCTCTCGAAGGCTTGATCTCTGATTCCGACGCTCCGCCTACTGACTCGAGTAGCGAAGATGACGCCAATCCAAAGTCGGTATCCGACTCGGGAAAAACCAAGTCCAAGTCTAAGCATATCCGCTCGTTCAGCGGAAGCGGGACCTGGGCGTCGTCCATGATGAAAAAGTTGAAGGGTATAGCTGCTGGAGGCAAGGACGAGTTCCGTGGCCGTCCTCCAGAGAGAATCTCAAAGACAAAGAAGGAGAGTAAGGAGAAGCAAGAGTGGGCTACCAAGAGACTCATTGAAGGCGAGCCGATTTACAAGTACGCCGGGATCGCCACCACCGCTACATTTTGGCGATTCATACTCGAAGTTCCGGTCAACCCTGATCCTACTAAGGGAATGAGAGCACATTATACGATCAATAAACCGAAGACACCTGTTCATGCTGGGTATGGTGAACAAGGTCAAACGCAGCTGTTGAGTACCACCATCACTTTCCACATTGCGCCGACTGGTTCGGATATGCGATTTGCTGCATATAGTTGCAATGGGTTCAGCGAAGGTATCGATCCGGATAACTTCAAAGGAGAAGGATTCGAGAGTGGATTCGACCCCGTCTGGGCAGACTTGCTAGAAAGACACGAGCAAAGACCGTTCCACGCCCTAGTAGGTGGAGGGGACCAACTATACTGCGACTCGTATGTACTAGTCTTCCCGTGCCCGTCCAAACGTTCTGATGAACGACCAATTTTATAGGTTGATGAAGGAACCCGAGTTACAAGAATACGTCAAACTAAAGACTTCAGAAGACAAGATTCGCTATCCGCTTACGGAATCTATCATGTTTACAATGGACCGGTATTATTTCAATCACTATTGTCTTGTCTTCCGGAACGGATGCTTTGCTCGCGCTATAAGTGAAATGTAGGTCCATTCATTTCGGCTACATCTGGGCAGACATCTAATTCACAAACGTTAGCCCTATGGTAAATATGCTGGATGATCATGATCTCATCGACGGATTTGGAAGCTACCCAGAGCCATTACAGCGCTCTGCTTTCTTTAAACAGTACGGTGTATTTACTATCGTCGAAAGAATTGGAGCTAACTTGATCCCAATAGTATTGGCTCTCGAGGATACTTTTGGTTCCTCCTATTCCAGCAATTTGTGGTGGATACTGTTGATGGAACCCTAATCGAACCTGGAGAACATACTTTCAAATCAACAATCATCGGTGCCGATGGCCCATACATTCCTTTCCCATCTCATTCTAGCTTGCACTGGTTTGGTGCACGAACCTGGCTACTGATGTTGGATTGTCGGTAAGTTGCTGATGAACTACCTTAATTGATCAACTGTACTAAACGGCGAAACCAGAGCTGAACGTCGCAAGGACTTGATCGTCACCCCAGAAACGTATCAGCGTATCTTTGCCATCTTCAAAGGGTGGGTCGAGGGTAAATGGTTTCTCATCTTCCATTTCCCATTCGAGTGTAAGTGTCGGGAATGGATGATATACAGACTCGTCGTCGTTTGCTATCGGAATCATCAGAGATCCCCCTTGGCTTTTCACAGAGCATACACTTACTAACGATTAGCACTGCACCTCTCCACATTCCATCCTTTACGGTATCATATCGTAACAAGGGCCCACAAAGGATCTGCAAATGGGGTTCGCATACCGCGGGAACCTTTCCTTCCTGCACGGCACTCAAAGTAGGCCCTGGATGGGTCGTCGCTCCTTGATCCGAATCCAAAATACGAGTCGGACCTTGAATCTCACTCGGAGGAACCCATCCTGGCGGTCGGTAGTTGGGTACAGAATAACCATTTTCCATCGGCGTGACGGGGAGCACTTTCGACTGGTCGGTATCGGCCGTTTGCTCATTGGGATTCTTATCCGGAAGCTTCATGTACGTATGAGGAGGAGGACCATAGTAAGCATGAAGCTATAGTAAAGTCATGATCGTCAATCCGACAAGTGCATCTAGGAATGGGTTTCTACTCACGTTATGCGGCTTCTTCCATGCCTTCAGACGGCTGCCAGGAGCATCCTTGTTCTGGGTCGCACCTTGCTGAGATGCATCCTTTGCTAATTCTGCAACAGGTTTGGGTATCTCTGGTTTATCAGACATGGTGGCAGAGTGCAGGGGACGAGAGTTCAGGGAGAGTCCTGTGGCTATGACGCGTTGAGATTTAAGAACAGCCAAGACTTTCGGCGTGACGTCACCATCGGACAGGCAGACGCCCGTCCAATACCATCGAATGAATTTGTGGCATAGGGTACTTTCTGTATCGTCATCACGGCTATATCCGAACCGGCTTCTTGAACGTCAAAATGTGCACCTGGGTCAATCTTAGAGAGTCAACAAATAGTATATTTTGGGGATTGTAATGGCAGTACATGGGTTTACCACGAGTCTCTGAAGCTCTCTTTCCAAGATTGCATCGTGTTATTCATCCATCGCATAGTCCCCCGAATGAACAGGGCCATCTCCTCTTCTTTCGCGGTTCGGTATCGATTGATGATATGCCCAGTCACAGCCATCATGAATAGGCATGTTAATGGCATCCACAACTTCCGTATATAGAGTAATCTTGATACCAATTCCGACTGTTGTCGCGTGTCCCTTTCCTCGTCCCTGGTGAACCATTTATCCCTGAGATCGGTTCCAATGTCAAAGATATTGGGGATAGCTACTGATATGACTGCAGTTATTTGACCATATGTCCATACGTCTTCGCTGTTGTTCTCGAGCTGGTGGCCCACTCCTTGATGAAACAGCTCCAATAGGCCGATGATGCACCCCAAGTTGAGTAGACGCGTGGCAAGGAATGCCAAGATGGAGGACTTGCTGAAGAAACCAAAT